TATGTCAGATCTTGGAAGTATTACTTCGCTTATTCAAGAGGAAGAGGGTAAGGACAATGTTCGAATTACTGGAGCATACTCTTCAATTCCAAAAGCAAATAAAATGGCAACTTTTAGCAAAAAAGATCCCTCTGGACTGAGAGCTAATAGCGTAGAGCTCGGAAGGCAAGCATTTTGTAAAGAGATTGCAAGTAAAGCTACAGAAATACAAGCACGCTTGAAACCTGTTGACAAAGGATCTCTAACCCAAGAGATTCATAACACTGTGAACACATCGACTGATTTACCTTTGCCACTTTCCCCATCCAAACACGTGGCTAAAGAAACTTTATTAGTCAAGAGCGACACTGATCCATTTGTTGCCACAGATAGTTTTGTCTACCTGGCAGTATCAGTACTGCCCCCACCCCAGGAAAGAGTGACCAAACCTGCACTGGAGGAACCATTGCCTCCTACTTCCTTTGCCAAACCTTGCCCTTACCCTGATGAATGTGACTTCCTCTCGACAGATAGTTTTGTTTACCTGGCTGCTCCTGACTGCCACCTGCTGGTTACAGAGGGACATTCAGTATATGGTGACTCGAAAGATTCTGAATCGGAGGACAGCGGTTCTAGGGCAGACTTTGTTATAGCCTCTGCAGTAGGAGGAGATAGCGATTGGGACTCAGACCTGACTGATTCTGAACCAGAGCCAAACTCTTCCAATCCTGCATGGGACTACTGGGAGGAGCTAGAGCAGGGGGTGCTGCAGGAACTATTCAGCGATGACCAATCAGATGCAGACAAACTGCTCTATGGCAACCAAGCTCAGCAGATTTGCTGCCAGCGTGGGGAGTTGGCTGCTATTGTTGTACAGGAGCTGGAAGAGGTGTCCTCGCAGTACACACAGGGGGCAGAGGCACACACTGAGGTGAAGTCTGTATCCTAACTCTCATTACTGCACTGGCAAGCCTATTGTATTAGAGCCCATTTAATAATTATAATGTTAAACATCATAAACAGGTATTTTCATTTTTGTTTCCCTCTATTTCTCCTTATTTAATAATGTATATATTATTTCAAAGTTGTGATGCCAACATCTATCGGTATTCACAATAAAATGTGGATGTGTTCTTGATATCAATTTTGTTGAAGCACAGTTCAAGTCTCTCTTTTAAGTTGCATTTCTGTTTTATAGTTTGTGTCATGGTGGACAGCTTTATGGGTTTATTGAGTTGTTATTGATTTCAATGTTATGTTGACTGGTAAGCATTTGTTAACTGATAGGTTTGGCTATTAATAGGTGATCGTGGATGCAATGTGACTATCAGAGATCAAGCATAGGAGCTTCAAATCTATTGCAGACTAATGTTAGATCAATAATAGATACACTATATGCTGTGTGCTCTGTATAACAATAATTAATGTTATATGTTACCGGGATCATTTTAAAAAACTGACTGTGAAAGTCCTGGAGGGCAATTAGGCTGATGTAGACATTTTGACCTTGTCAATAAAGGAGCACAGTTTATAGCACAAATAATGCTTAATATGCAGTAAAATGTGTGTACTTAGCTCAGTTTATGACGTTTAAATTCAGCAGGGAGAGTTGTTCCACTTTTTAACACATTGCAAAGGAAATGCATTCTGCCTGGGTTGTCAATAAATGAAATGTGAAGGATCAAAAGTCTTCATTTCTTTTCATTCTTAGCTGTTTACTTAGCATGCTGTTGAATACCCCCCAGCATTCCTTTCCATTACACCATCTGTCCCATGGCCTATATATATATATGATTTCTCATGTGAATTGTTTGGGATCAGAGTGAAGGAGCCTAAAATTCAAGTGTTTTTGTAGAGGCCAAAGGGGCTATTTTTAGTTAAATTAATTAGTTCAGTGTGAATGAGGCCAAACTAAATGCATTGTGTGCCAAGATAATACATAAGTGGGTCGTGTGCATGAGATTTTGCTGCCGCCCATCGTTGTTCCTCAGTAACCTACATTATGCTTGTTTTGTTCCATCTGTTATGCATACTATGCATCAACAGTGTCACTGTTGTATCTGGGTCCAACCTGAATCTTTTGGCTTTGACCGAATATCCTGTAGCCAGACATGACATGCATTCCCATCACTGTGATGATAAGGTCAGGCAAAATCATAATTTAAGAACAGTCTCCCACTCTCTCTTTCAGGTCAGGTCAGAGTTAGGCAGAATGTGGAATAGCATGGTTTCAAACTACTCATACTTCTCTGGAGGCAGTCGTGACCTAATTGTTAGCGAGTCCGACTGGTAGCCCAAAGGTTGCTCGTTCGATTTCAGTACCAACTGAGGTGCCCTCGAGCATGGCACCAAACCCCTAATCGCTCCCTGGGTGCCACAGTATAATGGCTGCCCACTGCTCCGGGTGTGTATCACGGTTTGCAGTGTGTGCATGTTTGTGTGTTCACTGAGGATGGCTTAAATGCAGAGGACAAATTCCGAGTATCGGTTGGCCTTCACATGTCACTTTCACTTACTCTTAATAACCATTTATTTATTTATAACTATTTCTGCTTGTATCTTTATATGATTGGATACAGGAAAGGGGAAATCAACAGTTACACAACAACAATATATACTATATTACAGTGTAAAGTTTACACTATATATATATATATATATATATATACCTAAAGGATTATTAGGAACACCTTTTCAATTTCTCATTAAGGCCATTATCTAGTCAACCAATCACATGGCAGTTGCTTCAATGCATTTAGGGGTGTGGTCCTGGTCAGGACAATCTCCTGAACTCCAAACTGAATGTCAGAATGGGAAAGAAAGGTGATTTGAGAAATTTTGAGTGTGACATGGTGGTTGGTGCCAGACGGGCCGGTCTGAATATTTCACAATCTGCTCAGTTACTGGGATTTTTACGCACAACCATTTCTAGGGTTTACAAAGAATGGTGTGAAAAGGGAAAACATCCAGTATGCAGCAGTCGTGTGGGCGAAAATGCCTTGTTGATGCTAGAGGTCAGAGGAGAATGGGCCGACTGATTCAAGCTGATAGAAGAGCAACTTTGACTGAAATAACCACTCGTTGCAACCGAGGTATGCAGCAAAGCATTTGAGAAGCCACAAAACCTTGAGGCGGATGGGCTACAACAGCAGAAGACCCCACCGGTTACCACTCATCTCCACTACAAAAGGAATAAATACCTAATTTTCAGTAGCTCAACAAAATTGGACAGTTGAAGACTGGAAAAATGTTGCCTGGTCTGATGAGTCTCGATTTCTGTTGAGACATTCAGATGGTAGAATGAGAATTCGGCGTGAACAGAATGAGAACATGGATCCATCATGCCTTGTTACCACTGTGCAGGCTGCTGGTGGTGGTGGTGTAATGGTGTGGGGGATGTTTTCTTGGCACACTTTAGGCCCCTTAGTGCCAATTGGGCATCATTTAAATGCCACGGCCTACCTGAGCATTGTTTCTGACCATGTCCACCCCTTTATGGCCACCATGAACACATCCTCTGATGGCTACTTCCAGCAGGATAATGCACCATGTCACAAAGCTTGAATCATTTCAAATTGGTTTCTTGAACATGACAATTAGTTCACTGTGCTAAAATGGCCCCCACAGTCACCAGATCTCAACCCAATAGAGCATATTTGGGATGTGGTGGAACGGGAGTTTCGTGCCCTGGAAGTGCATCCCACAAATCTCCATCAACTGCAAGATGCTATCCTATCAATATGGGCCAACATTTCTAAAGAATGCTTTCAGCGCCTTGTTGAATCAATGCCACTTAGAATTAAGGCAGTTCTGAAGGCGAAAGGGGGTCAAACACAGTGGTGTTCCCAATAATCCTATAGGTGAGTATATATATATATCCATACATCCATACAGTAGCTGAACATGTATAAGTATTTGGTGGTATTTCTAAAAGTGTGTGTGCTCGTGTGTGTGGGATGGATTGTTTGCTGTGTGCATTTGAGTCGAAGCCAGGGCACATGTGTAGGAGGAGCAGCACAGAGTGAGTGAATCATACATTAGGACATTTGCTGTATTCTTGGTCAATGTACCAAAGATTGAAAGATTATCTGCAGGTTAGCAACATGCAATGCTTAGAAATTTTTCAAGTCGGATAAAATGCTTAGGATGAAAGAATTGCTTTTTTTCCCTCCTCATGTTATCATTGAAACATATTCAAATAAAGACCTACTTTTTATTGTTTTAGTTTTTTTGCCCTCAGTGTGCAGTGTTATACATTTGTGTGTGGTGTGTGAGTGAGATAGACTAGGTAGGAGGCATGTAATCATTGGTTGCTGAAGGCAAAAGATCAAGAGTTGCTTCTTATGTAACATGTAAATGAAAGTACACTGGGCAGCATGTGCTAAAAGATTTTATTTCTAAATGCATTCTGAAAAGCAGTGTAGGCTGACGGAAATTTGGACAGAAAAGATCCAGAGAGAGTCAGATGAATTAAACGTTGAAATGCTGTTAAGAAATGTTGAAATGCTGTTAAGAGATTTGATGTGACATATTTGGCCTTAATACAAGTCATTTAAAATTAAAAGTAAACCAAAAACTGCAATTCTGCCTTCATTTACTCAAAGTATAGCATTCTTGATTCTGTGGAACACAAAAGGAGTACTTTATGTTAGAGCTGCTGTTGATGGAAGTGGGCCGTAGCCAAAAAAAACAACAACACAATAATAGTGGCCTTCATGACTCATTCACTCTGTCCCAAGTCTTTTAAGCCATATAATAGGCTTGTGTGAGAGAAAAGAAAAGGAACCATTCACTTTCTCAATGGCAAAGAGCAGCTTGGACATTCTGATAAAAATATCTCCTTTCGTGCTCTATGGAAAATGAAAGTCATAATTTAATAAATAATAAAAAAGTCATAATTTCGCAACACAAGGGTGAATAACAGTGATGACAGATATCTTATTTTTGGGAGAACTATCCTGTTAATATAACAATAACCTTTCACGTCCACTGTCAGTTTCAGAAAACCAATGTAATCAAGGCAATGTTTGCACCTTTTATTGATATTGTACACTAAACACGCACTCAAAACAATGCATGATGCTTCAGGAGGCATGTAAATGTTCGATACCCATTTGCATAGGCCTGACGTTGATTGTGAAATATTTAGAGTCAAGCTAACCATGCAGCTTATTTCCATATTTTTAAAGTTCATTCTAAAGTGCAATCTATCGACCAATCTCACTGAGGTTGTAAAGGTTTTTCAACAGTCTTGACTATTTTATTGTCCTTTAATTTTTGTGAACCCAAGTTTTGGCTGCTGGAGATAGTGGGATCAGGTCTTTTAGATAGTTGCGGTGGTGACTGTGACATTATGCAGTATTTTAGTATACGCTTTCCAATGAGATAAGCCATTTCGCAGATACACATGAAGATGCAGAGAACAGAGGCCGCCACCATGAAGAGGGTGAAGATTTTCTTCTCAGTAGGGCGTGAGATGAAACAATCCACCGTATTGGGACAAGGGTCCAGCGAGCACTTGGTGATGCGGGGGAGGTCAAATCCTTTATAGATGTGATGAAGAATATAGAGAAAGGCAGCATCAAACACGGCTTTAAAGATCAAGCTAAGCAGGTAGGTCCACCAAAGACCTCCACGTTTTTTTCCAGGGTTGGCGTATAAGTGGTTGCCCTGGTGAACAGCAATGTAATTGTGGTCTTTTTCCTCTCTGTATTTGACGTGTGCTACGACCAAGAGCGACGGACACGTGACAAAGATGATCTGTAAGGCCCACAGGCGGATGTGAGAGATGGGGAACGTGCTGTCGTAGCAGACGGTGGTGCAGCCGGGCTGCCTGGTGTTGCACACGAAGTTCTCGTCGCCCCAAACGCGCTGAGCCGCCACCACAAACACCAGTACACGGAACACAAACACCACGGACAGCCACACTCGACCAAAAACTGTTGAATATTTATTGACCCCGCTAAGAAGGGACTCCAGTCCTAACCAGTTCATCCCTGATCACAAACACTGTCCTGCAATAAACACAGTTATACATCATTAATCATAACACTCAAAAGAGACACTTTTGCATAACAGAGTGGCGAAGTTATGACGTCACTTTGTAGGACAACTCGGAAGTTAGCGGCGCATGGGTTCCCTCCGTCGAAAAGCTATGCATTTTCCCCATAGACTTTTGGAAAATCGCAAGAAATAAGATCTGTGTTCAACAAAGAGTTGTGACCCTTACATGTTTTGTCTATCAAGATAATCCAAAATTTATATATTTTGAAGCCTATATAAAGTTTAAAAAAACACAAGTAGGATATAACTGTTTGTGTTTTATGTCATAGATCAAAACGAAAATATTTAGAGGCTTTGTTCATCACCACAGACCTTAAAAATTCCAAAAACCCATATGCATTTTATGGCGAGGGAATCGGAAGTGCTAAAATGCTAACTCACTTCCGCGTTTTGGCCTGCAAAGTGACATCATAACTTTGGCACTCTATATAGGGCATTTTAGTTTGGGTCAATGAATCTCTTGACAACTGGTGTCATGAATATATGGTCTAAATTTAACCAAAAACTTAATAGGTTTTTTTTTTTTGGTCATTTTTTGTGTTGCTGATTATCTTTTTAATTAGCCAGTGGAGATTTGGTCTTCGATTAATATTTAAACTCCAGAGGCATTTAGTCACACATATCAGGTTCTTCAGATTGTTTCTAAAAATCTAATCAGAAAGTTTGCAAAAACTGATTCTGTTCCAAGCACTTTAAAGGGAAGTTATGACAGGTAACATTTTTTTCTTAATAATAATAAGGTGTTTTTTTTTTGTTTGTTTGTTTTATTGTCGATGACACAAAGATGACACATTTCAATATAACAAGCCAGACTTGACATGTTTTACCCAACAGGTTTTCACTTGCTCATTATAAATTATTGCTGTTTTGATTTTGCTGACAGAAATGTGAATTTGTCATGCTGCTGCATCACACCAGGGTTTGATGTCTCATAGCTGCTCCCACTGGTTTTTAGCATTTTTGTAAGTAATTGTATGTATGCGTGTATAGACAGATAGATAGATAGATAGATAGATAGATAGATAGATAGATAGATAGATAGATAGATAGATAGATAGATAGATAGATAGATAGATAGATAGATAGATAGATAGATAGATAGATAGATAGATAGATAGATAGATAGATAAACAGACACACTTACCAGCTATTTAAGTACACCTGTTCAACTGCTTGTTAGTGCAAATATCTAACCAGCCAATCACATGACAGCAACTCAATGCATTTAGGCATGTAGTCATGGTCAAGACAATCCGAGCATGAGAATGCAGAAGAAAGGTGATTTAAGTGACTTTGAATGGCATGGTTGTTGGTGCCAGACGGGCTGGTCTGAATATTTCACTCACAACCATCTCTAGGGTTTACAGAGAATAGTCCGAAAAAAAGAAAATATCCAGTAAGTGGCAGTTCTGTGGGCGAAAATGCCTTGCCGATGCCAGAGATCAGAGGAGAATGGCCAGAAATGAGATAAGCAACAGTAACTCAAATAATATATTTATATATAACATAAGAAGACTTTTTACGCTCACCAAGGCTGCATTGTAATATATTTTAAAATGTAATTTATTCATGTGATGGAAAAGCTGAATTTTCAGCATTTCTTCAGTCTTCAGAGTTACATCATCCTTCATAACTAATATGCTTAATATTTTTTTGGAAACTGATACTTTTTTCTGGATCCTTTAAGGACTATATAAATAGTAGGGCCTAAAATTAACACTCGGCAAGCACCAAATGCGAGTATATCAAACGGTGTCAATCGCCAGTTGACCAGTAACGTTTATGAATTCTAATAATGCAATGTTGTGAGAACTTGAATGTGAACAAATGATCATATTTACCAGGGGTGCCAATAATTCTGACCACAACTACACACACACACACACACACACACACACACATGTATAGACGAATATATATAACACACATACACATATAGGCTATTATATATATATATATATATATATATATATAGAGAGAGAGAGAGAGAGAGAGAGAGAGAGAGAGAGAGAGAGAGAGAGAGAGACATATGTATGTGTGTGTATATACAATAATACAATGAATTACTAAATGTAATTACTAAATTAATTTGTGATGTTCTAATGTTTTTTTTATTTTTTTATTTATTTTTTTATTAATAAATAAGCTTTCCATTGATGTATTGTTTGTTAGTATAGGACAATATTTGCAGAAAAATCATGAATATAAATTATGGACAACTTTAAAAGCGATTTTCTCAATGTTTCAATTTTATTTCACCCACTCATAATTATTATTATTTTTTTTCTTCTTCACATATTTACGGTTGGAAATTTACTAAATATCTTCATGGAACATGATCTCGACTTAATATCCTAAGGATTTTTGACATAAAAGAAAAATCTATAATTGTGACCCATACAATGTATTGTTGGTTATTACTGCCACAAATATACCCGAGCTTGTGACTGGTTTTGTGGTCCAGGGTCACATAAGCAAGCATAACCTTGTGTGTTTAATACAGCTTCTTACAATGTTGATAAGGCCAATCTTTGTTATTACTTAGTAATAATGCATAAAAGAAGAACTTACCGTGTTTTACAGCAAAAAGGATATGCATTGAAATAGGAAGCGCAAAAAAGGAGGAAAAGGTAAAACTAAAATCCCTAAACAATGCTGTCCAACCTGATCTCGGGACTCGTCGCCATACCTGTATGCAAGTGGGTTGTTCACAGGAGACACCTGTGGTGATGAAGCAGCTTCACCTGGAGGGTGTGGTGAGCTAGACTGTGGGTGGTGCATCATATTCATTAGATATTAGCTTACAGACGGCACTGTAATGTGAGTAGGCCTGGTGTCTGTATTTGGAACAAGCCTTGCTGCCTTGTCATGTGTCATCACTGCCACACCCAGCAAACAGCAAACATTATAAAATACAGTAAAACATAGGGGAGAGCGGGGCACAACCTTTGGTTTTGGTTCAATTAATTAAAAAATAATTAGGTTAGATTAATATTTTTTTATACACAAGCAACATATCTCTGCTACTAATGAACACTTAAAGTTTTTTTCTAGGACCATTTTCATACAGTTGCACTGAGTGACAGAAGTCCAAATGTTGTGTGTAACACATAATTCAGTACTATTTTATATGTATAGTCTGATGTTGTTTGTGCATCTGTATAGACAGATATCCATATATCCATCCATCCTCATCCAATCATCCTTCTATTGTGTATCAATATCATGGATAGAGACATAGAAAAAGGCAGCACAGTTTTGCAATAAATAATAATAAAATTATAAAATATTGTAATTGCAATTAAATTAGATTTGTGTGGGGCAGCTGCATGTACAATTATTATTAATAATAATAATAACAGTAATAATAATACAAATGAGCTTAAAATAAAAATTTAAAGGGTTTATTGCATTAAAAACAGGCCATATTTTTAATAAACAAGATATCATTCATAGTACTCTACATTTTAAATTACAACATTGTTTGTGAAAGTCCAACAAATAGTTAAATGTAGCTACTCAAACCTGAAAAGTTGTGGCTCCGTTTTCATTTGATTAGCCTATCATTGTACACTTGGCGGCTTAGTTGTAACACTGTGTTACAACCAACCCCGCTGTGTAATACATATTTTAAGCCTAGCTAACAGTCGCTTGGAATTGCTGACGTGTTTCAAAACGGTGCTATGTTTGAGCCAACAAGACAGTGATTAAGGCAATATAAAGTTAGATATTATGGAAATGTATACACCTAACTCAGAAACTAATCTATGATGAAAAAATCTATGATGAGAAAAAAATCTATGATGAAAACATTTACTTTCATGGTGTCAAAACACTCTTTGTCTAGAATCTTCACGAAATATAGGTCAAAACTTTCCGCAAATTCGCGGGAGACAGTCTTCTGGCAGCAAGAGAAAAAGAGCGAAAACACAACCTGCTTGATTCTGACTGACTAGGCCTATGTGAAAGGTCCGTGTTAACCCCGCGTTAGGTTGTGCCGCGCGCTCCCCCACATTACTTTTTCACAAAGACCATTTTATTAATTTATATATTAATAGCCTACTACAAAGTAGACAGCAGCATGATGTTATCGTTAGGGCTGTGAATTGAAAAAAATAAAATAAATTCATGCTATAACTCTTTTACACCAGGAGATGGCGACATAATCTGATCTTTCAAAAATCTGTGTAACTTCCAAGCTGTATGGGCATATTTTTCTCAACGTAAATATATTTTTACCAACGTGGGAATGATATAGCCCATGTGACCGTTAGATAGATCTTTTTATTAACATTATAAAGACCTGTGCACTATTAATCTAATTTATTTACTGTAATACAAAAACATTCTTCTATATGAATTCATTTTTATGTAGTTGTTATATTTTATTGAAATATTATTAAATATGATATAATAAAAAATGGAAAGTAAACCTAAAGATATTATGTTTCATATTTGTTATTAATACTGATAATAATAAAAAAATACAAATAATAACAAACAATGATAACTAACAACCATTAAAATGTACAGGCCATGTCGTCATGAGAAAAATCAACGTGATTATCCGTCAGCGGATAAAAATGTACATCTATAATATTTGAGTGTAAAGTTCATGGGTCTGAATACATGGCTCTGGTCTGGGTGGCTCTGGGTAAAGGTGCTGGTTATTGCCCACGTGACTACGGTCAGCCAATCAGCGGTCATCTGTGCTGACCGGAATTGTCGCCTGGTTACGGGAGCTCTACGGTAGAGAAGAGCTAGCCGGCTAGCAGCGTCTCTCATTCCGCTCTTTTTTGTCACGGTGTTCATAAATACCGGCAGCTCTCTGTGAGTATCTATATGATGTCGTATTTATATTTCCCCTTTGTTTATAAACATCTAGATGAATGATGAATTATTAACTTATGAGTGTATGTTATTTAAACATATAACGTTACGCATTTAGCAGCTAAAACACATGCTAGCAGAACTAGACCGAACTAATCTCGTAAAAAACATTTGGTTATTTTTCGAAGAATGTTAACCGTTGTAATGTATTCTATTATGTTTCTTATTTTATAAGTATGTAAAATTATTTATTAAGCAAGGCTCATTGATGTTAACGACTTCTGTTTTTATGAAACCACAGCCTATATCATATTCACACAATGATGCAGTGTGTGTTAATGGCATGGTGTTCTTGTATGAATTAACAAAATAATTCACATATTTTTAATTAAATTGTTGTTTAATTTGTCTTCAACAACATGTGTGGTCAGCAAATGTGGAAACCCATTGTGTTCCATGCACACATATTTCTTTGTCTTAAAGGGATAGTTCAACCAAAATTGCATTTTTGTTTGTAATTTACTGTCCCTCATGTCGTTCCAATCCAGTGAATGATTATATTTCTTGTGGAATACAACACAAAGGAGGATGTTTGACAGAACTACATTCTCAGTCGCCATTCACTTTCATTGTGTAGGGGAAAACATGCAAAGGAAGCCAATGATGACTGAGGCTGTCATTCTGCATAACATCTCACTTTGTTTTCCACAGCAGAAATAAAATTATATGGGTTTAGAAGAAGGTTGGTCAATGACAGATTTTTCCATTTCTGTGTAAATTATCTCAAGAATGAGATAATGGCCAAAAACAGACTTGTGGAGTGGATGCGGTGAGTGAGATATGAATGTGTAGATTGGCTTCAGCATTTATATACATTTTAAGATTAATCTGATGGTGATCTCAAATGTTTTGTCTCTGTTAAATGTTCTAAAAGATAAGCTTTCATCATAACAAATAAATAGACAAGCACTAGCTGTTTTCCTTTTTCCATTCCTGGCTTGTTGGGGCTCATCCTGGAATGAAGAAAAGTCTTGTTTAGTGCTTGTTTTATGTTGATTATCTTTTCTAGGTGCAAAGTAGAGACAGTCACGAATGGTGAAGATAGAATGCTGAGTTCTCAACTTGTTTTCTGTTCACTTATTGAAAGTAAGTGCCTGATAGGAGATAATAATTATACCGATTGCTAAACATTTTCCATATATATACCACCGTGTTAGGATGTGGTGCAAGGCCTGTATGCTTTTATGATGAGAGTTTATAATCCATCGAATGGCTAAAGTCAATATCAACTGCAGTGGAATGAGGTCTCTCTTCAGCTGTAGGCTACATCCAGTAACCATTTGGTGTTAATGGTGACGACATGCTTTGATTGACTGCACTTGCTGGTTGTGCTGGTTTAGGATTCACTGCCCTGGTTATTTATTGGTCACTGTCATGTTCTTAT